TCGTGGACTGTTCAGATGTTTGCAGGAGTGGCAGCATTTTCATCTGGTGCAGCCAACACGAAATACATGGAAAACAATCAGTTCAAAAATGTATTCTTGCATGAGATATTCAGAGGACCTCATTCAACCACACATTCATACTATGAGACTCTGGATAAAGCACTTCAAGCACTAAACGAAGTTGGTCAAGAACAAAAATTCCTCTCATCTAATCAGATGAGCCCTTATACTCCGTGTTTCTCAGAAAGCAAAAAGGGACGACACTCGTGTCCCTTACACATGAGGTCGCACTCAGAAATAATGCCTGCAGCAAATGTCACCAGTCAGTCAACAATAAGCATAGTGAGGTAACCTGTTTTTGAAAGAAATGTAATAAAGAACTAATTTAATCAAAATATGTCAATTCCTAGAGAGAAAAGTTTAAACTTCTTCAATGTGCATTGTGTTTTTGTAAAAAATGTCATGTTTTCAACATCACAACTCTTACAAGAAGACTCCATTCCGATAAAGAAGGCTTATTTTGATTAATTATTATTGTTCACCTTTATATTCAAATCCTACAATTAAACAATTTGTACAAAGTTGAAGAGAGAACAGTGGAAAACATAGATTATGCAGCATGTTTGGTGGACACTGCTTGCCCAGATATGTTTACGGAAGTACCTTGACCAGAGAAGAGGTAAAATATAATGGAAGAATTAACACCAATAATTTTGAAAACTACTAAAAATATGTCATTGAGTCTGAAATAAGTCATCAAATGAAAGGAAATGAACACGCCAAAACAACTGAATTTTGAAAAACCGGCACAGGTTACTTAGAAGTGTCTTTCAATGAAATTGCACTTCTTCTATCAGACAATTATTCATTGAAAACATATATAATTGAATTACAAGTTTTTAATTTGACTTTTCTTGAATTTCAGTAAATAAATAAATCCATTCATTCTAACATACTCCAATGAGCAGATTGACAAACTATTATGGAATACCACAGTCTAGTATACGTTTGCCAAAAAAATGGTGAAAATGACTGCAAATCATATCAAAATTATTCGCACTGACCACCCCCTCCAATTTCACTTTGCATGAATGCATGGTAAAATAATTGGTCGCTATGGACTTGATGATACAGTGCATGAGAAGGTGATATAGAACCATGGGCACCGAGTAGGAACAGCAGGCAGGATAAGCGTCATACAACAATCAATTGCCTCCATTAGTAGTTATATAAATAAAAAAACATTTGTTTAATGCCAAGAGTTGAATTGTATTCAAGTTATTATAAATAAAAAAGCAATTTTCATGTGCATTGTTCGAGAGGATAGTGCACAGGGCCTCGAAAGCTCAGCGTATGCATTCATATAGTTTCCCATGTCCATGCATCCCAGGTTTGACACGGAAACCACGCAACGTTTTATGCCCATTATTATGTTGCAAACAACAAACTATGGATACGGAAACCTGAATTTCAATTCAAAATGTTTTTTTTTTTTATTCAACTCACCTGCGGAAGTTGAGCTCCATTCCAGATGGGAGGCATCTTCCTCATATGGCATAAAAGAGTCCTGAAAACAGAAAGCAATGATCCCTCTATATAAAAAATTAAGAAAAATAAAGGATTTGTACAATTGATAAGGACATCAACACAAAACCTTGTAAATAGTGTTCTGGCTAGATAGAATATCCCTCCACCCCCCACCCCCCCATGGATGTGTGCTTCAAAATATGTTGCAGCCAAAAGCCAAAAGGCGTGAGCCAAAAAGGCAAAAGGCGTTTTGTTTTGTGGAGTACAAAGTTTGATCCTAAAAGTTAATATACGATCCTATAAACAACATAAGAATGGGTTCTTAAAATTAGCAAGAGAGCGCCATAACCACTATGTTATCATGTTCCAATTTCTCCTCTCCAATAATAATATTAAACTCAATTTGACCAACCAATCCAATTTACCCAATAGTGCATGAAATTTCATGATACTATAACAATTCTTTTATTAGCAATTTGGTTTCATTCTCACCTCGTCATTCTCCTCTGCTTCTTCCTCTTCATCTTCTTCCAGTTCCACTTTAACTGGAAGATACACAGCAACAGGCCTCTTCACCTCCTCCTCCTGCAAGAATTGATTTAATTAATAAAACACAATTTATCATTACTGCATTATTTCCTCAATTTTGTAAACACATTCCAAAACACATTTCCCATATTGATGCACTCATGAAGATCTCATGTTCTTTGTACATGATGCATCTCCACCATATACCTGGAAATGATCAGGGAAGCCACGGAAACTGATGAATTAAATTCTAGCATGTGCTGCCAAATCACAGGTTTATATTTTTGTAATAGAATTGTAAAATATTAGACTCATAAACCATTTTACATAACTATCAAATAGTAAAATGTGTTAAATTTAAAATTTGCAATTTTTTAAAATTATTATTGATTTTCTTTCTAAACATTACCAAAGTCATACAATTGGTTAAAAGTTTATCTTGTATGTTACAAGAAGACAGCAATTTGTAATTTGAATGTAAAACCAAAATTTGGCAAGTTGTTCAGATATGAACAACTTCATCATGATCATCTCGGAACATTGAGCACAAAATTACTTTTCAAAAGAGGAAGCGTGGTCATCTTGGGCAACTGGCACTGGCGGCGTCTATATCAATGTGTGATTTGCTACATTTACTTTGTATTACCATGGTAGAATTACAAATGGCAAATTTTGAATTTGGCAACACTTTTACAATCGTAAGTTGTCTGTACAGTGTCCACATGTAATCCATGCTTCTGTGTTTGTTTACATTGTGTTGTTCTGCACTTAGTAAGCATTTGTTTCTCTTTTGATGAGAAAAGTGAAGTTAAGTCATTGTTGATGGTGTAATTTAATTACGTTTAGTATCTCTATCTCTACTATATGGTTAAAAGCACTTTACATGCTTTTAAGAAAAGGAAGAACATGCATAAACCCAAAATTTAATTGTCAGCTACAACTCCATCTTCACCAAGAAGTAAAGAAAGGTGAGTGTTCTGGAAATAAAGCTTGGTAAATAGAAATTGAGAGCTCTGTAAAAAGCCCTGAAAGATAAAGAAGGAAAGGCATGTAAAAGAAGAAGAAACATAAGAAGGAAGATTGAAGAAACTTTAGAAGAAGACCCTGATAAGTCACAGTGCCATAATGCACTAGAAACTGTAATTTTCTGTCAGTATATTTTTCAAATGATTTTTTTTTTTTTTCCTCCAAATCTACTGGACAGTATTGAATGAAATTTATACAGATCTTCAAATGTACTCTTCTTCATGTTTTAACACAGCCATTTGGCAATAACTTGTACAGGTGAAGATTTATAAATAGGAATATATACCAAAATGTGCAAATAATACAAGCAATTATTAAATTTTATTTTAAAAAAATAAACATTATCTTTGAAAACCCCAGAGTGATCATAGGCCTAGAGCTTCACCTCAATTTTTTTAATGCAGTTATTATGAATAGTTTCTGAGAAAAGGAAAATCCAATTCCATCAAATTATCATAGAAGGGATAGGGCCTTCCAGAGCCCCTTAAAGAAATTCTAAGGAAAATTGTTTCCCCTTATTTCAATACAATTAAAATTTATGAAAATAAAATTCTCTATATCATAACTTTTAACCTGCAATTTAACTAAAAAAATATTTTTTTAGTTGCATATATCAAATGTAATATTGCATTTTATCTCATAGTGTTAGAGAAATTAACTCAAAGAATATGTTGTATTGTTGTATATATGCCTTACTTTACTTGTTTTGGTAGTTCTGAAACTACCAAAGATTTCAGATCTACAAAAGACAAATAGTACTTCCTCATTAGAATAAATAAATGGGCTTTTGCCAGATTTTTCAAATATTTCATCTGATATCAGAACGTACACTATCATTACCCAATATAATTTCTCTTTAAAACTGAATAAACACAAAGTCACCAACTTCAAAATTATTTTGTTCATGTTTTATCACAACTTCATCAAAATCTTTCAAAATATTAGATCACATTTTATAGTAACATTCATTGATGTGAACTAGAAGAATCATAACATTTAAAATATATTCAGAAGAATTCCAAAGAACTGTTTTTGTTACATTGTGTACCTATAAACAGAGTTCATTCATGAATTATGTTAAACTTATCCCAGCTACACAATGATATCTATTTCATAAAAAACATCTTCAGAAGAACTCTGAAAAACTGTTTTTGTAACATCACGTACTTATAAACAGTGTTCATAGATACATTGAATTAAATTGTTCACAGCTGCAAGACAAAGTCTACTTCATAAAAAGTTATGCTATCATACTATCAGTTTTATTAAAACTGAAAATAATTTCAGAAAAATAAGTTACTCTTCTTACCGCCTCCTCTTCTTCTGGTCCTTGTTGTTGCTCCACAACCTCCATTTTGCATTGTGGTTCCATTTTAACTTCCACCTCTTCGTGTAGCTCATTTTCCTCCACCTGTTCTTGTGACTCCTTTATCTGCAGCATTACACCTACAGGAAGCTTTGCCTCCCTCTCAACAAAAGAACACAATTCTCAAAAAAATACTTTCTTACTCATTGTCACCACCCTGTTACCTTTTGGATTAATGGTCAGTGTCAGTGATAACAATCAGTATGAAATACATGGACAACAGACGGTCTGCACCAGAAAATTAGACGTCTTAGTACCTTGTTAATTTTAATCAACAATTTTATCACCTTTATTACTAACCATATTTATAATTTTTTAACTAGTAATTGCAGCCCATAATAATAGAGTATTATTTTCCTGAGTAAGTGCCAATACAATTAGTATATGTCAATTTGTTGTGTAATAAAATGTATCACAAAAATATTCGCAGTAGCTTATATTATTCCAATTACAATACAATTTACCCAAGCTGTTCTACCAATTTTAAACTTGAAGAAATTTGCTGCATCTATTAATGACACAATAGTAAAACATTTTTAAAGTAATTCACCAGTAGTAACAACAGTGTGATGACAGTTTCTGCAGCTAATTTCAAGGGTTTACAAGTAATTTATTACCAATATATTTTCCATTATTAAACACCAAAATCTGATAGTGAGTGTACTTTGATTTACAAGGCACTTCAAAGATGTTCCAAATAAATTCATTGAAAGATAAATTATGCAAAATATTAAAAGTTCAAAGTCTTCACTTTAAGTAATAGAGAAGATAAGAGAAACTCACCTCTTCAATGATTACTTATTGCTTAACAGAAAGTTCTTCTTAGTTTGATGCAATCACATCCTGAAAATCATAGAGATCATATCAACACTAAAAATTCTTGCACTACATGACAATTTAATTAATGAAACAAATCAGAATGAGAATATCTGTAATAGGGTAATGCATATCCTTTCTTAGGTTTTCATTTACATCCAATTAGTTTACCCTTAAGAGGTAATACTAGTTTCTCAGACTCTAGCGCTATTTTTTCGGTTAATTTGACTACACTGGTTACATTGCAACTTTGAACACTGAGATATGCAACATTTGAGTCACTCTTTGATGTGATAATATCATTCTGAAATTTTTCTTACTCTTTGTCGTAAATTTACCAAGAAGAGACTGCATTACTACTGTAAATGTAAGTATATTTTACGTACTACCTTTGGGATGAACATTTTGAGAGTAAGAGATTGTTTTCTCATGTGTTTCAATTAATATTTCATCCTCTTAGAAACAACCAAGGTTATGTTATGTTTATTTGATTATGATTGCATTTAGTAACAGGCACAACATGGAACTTGAACCCAGCGATATGGAATATATTTCAGCGAGAGAGAGATTGAAAAAATTATACACCGATTGAAAAATTAAAATGCAGCTGGTCCAGGATTGGTAAACATTGAATTGCTAAAACATGGCTCTAGTTTATTATTAGATCTTCTTACCTGACAAAGATAGATGTTTAGTAGGAGAAGAATTACCCAAGGACTTCAGGAAAGGATTAATCTCTAACATCTACACAAAAGGCAATAGGAAACAGTGTGCAATCTACAGAGGTATAACTGTTCTTGGCAGCATTGGCTGAGTGTATGGAAAAATATTTAAAAACCTGACTGGAAAGAGACCTCATTGACATCGAGGAACAGAGTAGCTTTCTAGTGGGGCGCTCATGTATTGATAAAGTCTTTCGTATTTGGCCAGAAACTGACAAATGACTCACCCATAACTTGGAGACACACCTTGTATTTATATATCTGTGAAAGGCCTATGACACTGTTTCATTATCTAGGCTATGGGTGGCAATGGATAAAAAAACGTAAACACGCAATTGCTTAGAGCTATTAAAGATTTATACAGCGTTAATACATGACAAATAAAAATAGGGAGAAATGTTTCAGCACCATTTTCAGTACATAAAGGTTTATGACACGGTTGCTGTGAAGCCTTGACTTGAATATATTTTAATGAAGTCCTGAAAAGATGGAGAACGAAATGTAGTAATATGTGTATTAAAATTGGTTGCTACATTATTCTCTAAACTTTGCAAACGATCAGATGGTGTTCACTGAAGATGAAGCTCAATATACGCTGTGGAAATTATATGACGAGTACCCGGAATGGGGTTTAGAAATAAAATTTAATAAGACAGTATATATTGTTGTAGGAGGAAGTGCTAAAGGTCTGAGGTTTGGAAGTAAAACCCTGATAGAAATTCACATACCTCGGTACACAAATAAACGCAAATGGAGGCAGTATGCAAGATATTAGAAAGAGAATTGCAAAAGGCATAGTGGCTATAAGAATTACATTCTCTGATATGGAAAGATAAATGAAGTAAGAGTTGAAAGACAAAATTGACTGTAATAAACAATATTGCTCTTTATGGGCCTGAAGTATAGGAAGTAACAAAAGAGAGTGAAAAAAATGACAGGAATGGGAAATGGACTTCTGGCACCAAAGTTGCAGACTGAATTTAATGTATAAAATTAAGAATAAATAAATTAAACGTAAAGCGGAAGTAAGTTTTAAAATAATTGACACCATAGAAGTGAACAGACTAAAATGGTATGGCACATGCAAAGAATGAATGAAGAAAGGTGTCCAAAAATATTGTGGCAATGGCAACGAGAAACCCATTGAAGAAGAGGAAGACCTAGACTTACATGGAGAGGAGTGGATGAGGCAATGGTGAAAAGAGGATTGAGTAATGAAGACTACACAGATAGAGAGATGTGGAGGCTAGAATGTGAGACACACCCTACGGTGTAATATAATTTGCCATACTACTACTACTATTATCTGGAAGCTTATTGTAGGATTGACCTATGCAGTAAGTCTCTTGTAAGGAGAATGTATGTTTTGGCAGAAAGCTGTTGAAGAATAGGACAGTGTACATGATTTGATTGCCTAATATTATAGTGATGTATAATTGTATTGCATTTGGAAATATTATTTTTCTTCAGGATTTCTCTTTTTACAAACATAGCTGTTTGGTTTACATACAGACATTTCAGAACTGAGTGAATGTATGTGAAGAAAAATGCACAGTCTTCCGTAGAATTTTTTGTGAGAATTTTTAAAATACAACATTTGCAACAGATTGGGTTTACCCTTTCTATGTGGATATTCCTTTTAAATTACTTCATATAAATATCTCAAGAAGTTTTGTTACTTGACCTGGATTGATATTTTTACCATCAAGCTGTTGATGGTAAAAATATCAGTTATTTTTGTAATATTATTATGATAAAAATATCAGTTGTTATTGCTTATTATGTGGACTGTGATAAGATATACAAGTCATTGTTTTTTCTGATTTTACAAAATGAGTTTGTTATCCAAAAATATATTGCTAAGTTGCTGTAATAACAGTCTCTGAAGCATCTATTAAACCTTCCTAAGCTTCAGAACAAAATAGAACATTAGTATCAACAAACTATTTTAGAGTTTGCCTACATCTTGCAGCATATTGTTAATATATAATAGGGAATAACAAAAGTTAAGCCCTGATAAACCTCTAGTGTTGAGACCTGCAGAGTCCCTTTATTTAATTTTCTTGGGTTCTGATTATTCTAGCTAAAATAAGAAATTCATAATTTCCTAATCAAATGCTTTTGAAATATCTACATACTCAGAATTCTCTGTTATCTAGAGCTTTGTTATTTGATGTATCTAGTGCTGTTAGCATCTCAATTAAGGGTGTGAAGATTGCAGTGTCATTTGTTGTTATATTTTGGCAGTGTCAATGATTTATTTTTTTATGAAACCATGTTGAGTGTCACTTACAATTTTGTTTATATTTAGGAAATTTATTAATCTTCCATAGAATAATTTTGTCAGAATATTTGAGACAAGAGAGCAATGATCCATAGTTCATAACTTCACGTTTATCCTTCTTTCCTTTTTTTTTCTTTTTCTTTTTTAATAATTATTTTACTTATACTGTTTTAAAACATGTCACTAAAGATTGCTTCTGGTTAGTGGTATATTAAAGTAATATACGGTTTCAGTACGTGGGGCACAATTTTTTAAGAATAATATACAGAATGTTATAAATTCCTGCTGAAGATTTGTTTGATAGCTTATTTACTACTTGGAGAATCACATCTGGGGTAGTTTCAGATTTGTAATTTCATTTTCATCAACAAAAGAAAGTATTAGGACTAACGATATCAGAAAAGTCTAAAAGACTAATAAAATAATAGATAAAATAGGAAGTGACATGTTGAGAGAACGTCAAGTCAATTTGTCAGGTTGACAAATTCTACAACAGATTTAGAAATACAGCTCAAGAGAAAGGAGAGATATGCCAAGAAAAATATGGGAGAACCTGGATTATCTCATTTGCGAATTAGGGACCAACTATCCAAGTAAATATAACAATATTTTTAAATAAAATTTCTATAGTCAAATTGTTTTATACACATAACCTAGGTGTTAGTATAAAACAAATTAACCCTTAACTTATCAGCGTATTTTAAAACTTGCAATCACTCAGAGATAAAGGTTCAAAGTCTGTTGCAAGAAACTTACTCCCTTTCAATATTGTACCATTGGAATAATCCCACGACTTTCTTAACCAAAATCCTAACTTTATTACAACAGTCGTTTGATCAATCCTCTGACCAATGAGAGGCACTCGATAAAGAAAATTAAACGCATTAAGAACTGAATCGTGACAATATAACATACCTCTTCAATTGAGATTCATTTTTTCCCCAAGTAAATCAATGTTGTTAATGATTTTTGAGATATGCCAGGCCCCCAATTATTAGTATAGGAATTATAAAAGAAGGGGTATAATATTAGCTTTTAAATACTCCTAGTGGTAATATTCGCTTTCTCATACGACGAAGAAAAAAGCTAGAGAACCTGCCATTCACAAAGTAAACACATAAACACACACAGGTGACAGGTCGGTGACAGTGTGGCCACCCCAAAATGGAGAAAATACACGAAATGAACTGTACCAATAGTAAAATATGATAGATTTTCGACCAAAGTTACCCTACGATTTGGTTCACAATTCCCTACAGTTTATTATTTTCAGAAATACCTGTTATATTTCCACTTTATATTATCATTATCGCATTGAAACCCGCTAATGCTGACTAGGGGAGAGGAACAACATAATAAATCTCAGGACCCGCGTTACGTCATCCTACAGCCCGTGGATGCCCTGGGATGACTCATCAAAGAGTAGATAAGGGAGATCCGGTAACGAGTCATTCCTCTCTCAGGATGGTTCACGAACCGCTTTTAATACACAAAAGTGAACCGTGGTTCCTCGCTCTTGCGTTGCTCGCGAGCATGGTGTAAGAAAATTCTCGACTGCAAGCGAGCGTGGAGTCATGGCCCACAGGATCTCTCTATCTCCGTGGTGGAAATTGGTGTTATTGATGTCCATGGTGTAATTTTCACCATGTCTATCTCGTTGGCCACCCGTCGAGTAATGAGGAAGCACGGTGTACGGCAATATTCTTACACCATGGTCGGAAATCGTTCGGCAGTTTCGAGTAGTTCCACTGAACCGTTTTTTGAGTCGTTCATTGTCGGCTGGTGGGGAGGGAAAGATGTTAAAAAATATTATTCTAATTAGATGATTTGAGGTGTAAACTAAAATTTGTAAACCATACACTCGTGATGGCCATGAAGAACAATGTAAATAAAATTGGGACATATAAAAATAATACGTTGTTGTTGCAATGTCAAATTGTTTCAAAAAAGAACTGACAGGTTATGATCTAATATGTAAATCACTCGTCTCGCAGTGCACAGTTTCCACCCCCGGATCTGCAAATCAAAGAGTTTCCACGAACCAGAAGAAAGCGCTTGTATTGATTGAAGAAAAAAGGTGTGAATGATATTATATAGTATACTGTACCTGAAGTGACATATCCGCGGCAGTGCCTCCCGCTGGGTAGATCAATAACCATACGTCAGATACGCTGGTACGCCAAGCTGGTATGCACTGCTTATTTTGTTATTTTCATTAAAAAATCAGTCATAGAAGTGGTAAAAAATTACTCGTTCTTCTGAAAAGAAGAAAACAAGAATTGTATTAAAACTTCAATGAAAAGTTTGGAAGGCGTGCAGAACTTATTTGATCAGTCTCAGGGAATGACAGACATGGCTAGAAATTCAGTCGTAGAAGAAAGTTTAATTGAAGAACAAGCGGTAAGATATCAATTTATTTATACAATGTGATAGAATAGCCTATATTTTATTGAGATAGGAAATGTTAACTCCTTGTTTAATATAAAATAATTTCAATAACAAAGTCAAATTCATTTGTTCATTGGAGAGCTCTTTTAAAAAGAGATTTTAAATAATCCCTTTATTATATTAGCTTGTATGAAGTGAGTTATCATGAAAAATATTTTGTGCAGGACTCTTCATTGAAATCATGTGAAATACGTATTACATATGATATAAGACTTTGAAATTGATTAAGGTTCAGACATGTAATTCAAAAGTGCTGCAATCTGATGTAGTATTGTTTGTTAAATTAATTATTACTTTTGCTAAATAGGTTGAAAGAAAGCTAAGTGGCAAGGTGGATGAGTCTCTCTGGATTTCCACGGTAAGTTATTCTTATCTGCACATTCCTTGTTTTGAATGACTGAAATGTTAAAGCTTTGTAGAGGGCAAAAAGAGAATTGATTACTAGAGGGGCTTTGGTTATTAAACGAAAGAATAGCCTACTAAGTCGTTGATATTTTCTAAGGAGTCATAAAATGTATGAAATCTACTAATATTACTCATTATTTAATAATTTCTTAATCAGTTTGTGGTATTGAAGAGTTATATTTTTCACATGAGTTTACCAGCTCTGGAAGTGGAAGTGATGATTTACTGGGAGTATTAATTTTGATACTTTTGGAATGATGGAATATATGTGTGAATTTATTAGTATTTTCTAATGTTAATGTGAAAAGGTAATAATATCAAAGTAAATAATAGCCAAATAGGTAAGGCATGTCCTTTATTTCAGGTAGGGCATTACTGGTTTGTGAAATAAAATTAATTCACTACAAGAAATAAGTAACTTGTTGAGATAAAAGATGTTTTCTTGAATATTATTGAATTGGAATGGGACAGTGGTTAAGTATATCACTACTTAGTTAAAAGGTGAAGGTTCAATGCCAAACATTTGAAATTGCAAAAGTTGTGTAGTTATTTCAGTTATTGGTTAGTTTTTACCTAGGTTATGTGCCCTTTAAAAATAGTTAACATGTTGTGTAGAACTTATTATATTGTGATTTGTCTGTAATATTTTTACTTCTTTATTTAAATAGTATTTAAAAATTTCAATGTTAAGAATATAATTATATTATTTTTAAAATTTGAAATTCTTTTTATTGAATACAAGATTTTAAGTTTATTTAAATCATATTTTTAAATAACGTCTGAATTATAGTTTAAAATTAAAATTTCACATTTTATTTTCTCCGCTTTGTTTTGTTGTCGAGTTTGTGCTAGATGAATCCTTGTGTCGGTAAAACTGCAATCTTATGCTGCTACTATGTACTTTTTGTATAATTAACTGAAATGTGCAAATTGTTCTTTGTTGTTGTTGTTTTCTCCTTAATATCAAAACACAGTTAAATTTAAATAACATTTGTCAAATCATTGAAAATACTATTAAATTTATTTTGTAATAATATTATTGTAAATAGTTATTTTAGTAGAGCTAATTTTTTAATAATATGGGCCTGAATTTTATTAAAATCTGTGGGATTTCAAAACCTTGCCGAAGTAGAATATACAACACCCTCTTACTACTATGTTATTAAAGGAGATTTTTTCTTCATCCGACATAATCCTCAATATTCAATTTTAAATCATTTCATGAACACATGCTCAAAATATTAGTAGTTTTTGCTTAATTTTGGAGTATATTACGACAATTTTCTTGGGTATTAAAATCATAATAAATGATAATAGCTGTTTGAATACACAATAACCACTGTTGCATAGTAGTGTGGATTTTGCTGTTAAAACTTAAGTGCTCACTTTGAATTTCCAGCCCGAGCAAATATTTTTTTCTTCCAACTTTTCACAAGTATAGAGCCTATTTCAGTGGCAACCTATTTAAAAAATGTCCATGATTACTAAGTGCTGGATCAGCCATAATTCACACCCAAAACATCCAGTTTTTAATGCTATTTACTATCTTGCCTTCTACTACCTTTAATGTAGAGATGGATGGCAGTTTGAATGTATTCTCAATTTTTCCGTCGCTTCTGATGTATCCTCTCCCCTTACACACACTTAGGTGCACTGTGCTATTACAAATGTCGGGAGATTAGAATTTGTCCGGCCGGGGAGGTACCTCGTTGGGGAGATAATTAGAGGGGGATTCCCCGGCAAGCCAACGTGTAGGTCGGCGCCGGATCTCACCATCCAGCGGTACAGAAATTCTGCCACATTCAGGCATAAAAAACGTTCACTACACTAACGGGATTAGTGGCAATGGAGGTTGACGTGCCCAGAAACAATGGAAATTACCGGAAAAGCGACGTCATTTGACTGTTGTGAAAATGCTACAAAAATTAAATTATATTGAATAGACAACCCTTGGTTCATTTTTTTTTACCAAATTCAAATTTATTATTGAAGGGCCATGTTTTTTTTTAAAAAAAGTGCCTTAACCATCAAATCGCCTTGCTAAGTTGCTTAAAAATCCCCTAAAAAACACGTTTTTCGAGAATCCAAAAAGAATAGTCTGTCAGGATCAGGGGAAAATAATCAGTTTCCCACCAGTTGACTGAGACGCAGTTGTGTAGCAAGAAGGTTCAAATGGGGCCCCCAATTGTGATTGACTAACGCGAAATCATGAGGTTTCAGATTTTATTTACACACATTAGGCACGCATTACATTTTCCCCTGCCCCAATCCTTGAAGTTTTTGTCTTATCACTCGGTCGGATCCATTTATCCTTTCGGCTAGGATCTCGGCGCAGTCAGTAACCAGGGCTCACCCCAACAGTCACCTGTCAAGGAATCCGAGGTGGCTCGAGTTGCTTAACTTCTGTGATTTCGCGGAGCGTAGTTTAGAAATATTTTCCATTTCATACAGAATTACTCATTCTTGTACCCTAGACGTAAAATTTGCGTCCGCACGAACAACGTAAACAAACACAAACAACCCAGGTTGCTCGTACATTCGTTCTGTAGTGTTGTCAAATTTACATCGCATGGTTTGCAAACCAATCATTTTACTTTTTGTTGAGGCGTTAGGTATGGGACAAGTAGCACATCTGTTTGCGATGGGCTTAAATTTACAAACCACACTGGAAAGAGTGGGTGGGCTACCCCGAATCACCGATGTTTGCTATTTCTGCGCAGCACCAGTTTGCGTCACGAACCACGTGACCACAACACGGGCGTTTCATTGAAAGAATTTCATTGAAAAGCCAGACAAGACAGCGGCCGCCATGTTGCACGGAGAGTGAGAAATGTTGAGAAACATTTTGAAAGTTGCATAAAGTGACAATTTTGAACGAAGGTGTAGTTGAAATAAAAAAAAATTTAACGCTTCACGTGTCTGTTTCAATGACTCGTAACTAGGTGATAATTTTGGTATCTGGGTGCTTTTAAAATTCCCGTTTATATTGTGACGCAAACTGGTGTTTGAAGCTCACTGGATGAAGTGTGATACCATGCGCAAGAGCTCGCTCTTCTCTTTCCAGCACCCACCACCCATTCAGTTGCAGCAATAAAAGGAAAAACCTTAATTTCACCACGAGATACCATCAGCATATTGTTGAGCTAGAACCGCTGTTTGCTGTGTGTAGTCTTTCGTTGGCCCCGGTTGCACTGGCCTAGCAATGCTCTTGCTATTAACCAAAATTGAATAACCAGAACTCACTTGCCGCGAATGGTGGAGCTGACGAGGTCTACCAGTGAATCAATCCTGTGATCAATCAACTACGCCTTATTTTACGTAGCGATGTTCAGACCTGCTGTTCCGACTGACCACGCAAATACACAGCAGCACGTTCTCAAGGCGAGGGGGGAGATTTAGCCCCCTTCCCCAGAAGTTGGTGGTACATATTCACACACTTAATTTCTTCGAATTTTATGTAGTGACGAAAGTTATTCAATTTCTCAAGTGAATACGTTATAAGGGCTCGGTTTCTGATTACCTAAAAATTGTTTGAAAACGACCTTAAACAAAGGAAGGGGAAAATGACCTCATTTTTCAAAAAATGCTAAATAATTTATTTTTTTAATTTATTCAATGAATTTTACAATTTTCAATTAAATGTATTTATATAAAATTATATTTCATATAAAGTCTTTATTTCAGGAAGAAATGAAATCCTTAGCTCCGATCTTAACAACCGTTAGTTTTGAAAGGTCGATGTTACTGAAGATCCGTGTAATTTTCAGTTTGAAAAACAGCCCATTCAGTCGGAACTAATTTTCAAATTCGTCCTTCAATGACTCTGAGCCCTAATACGCTATCGAAATGAAACAAAAACTTTCTATGGGCTTTCAGAAACCTTGCTTTCACTTAGGTGGATTTCTTCACCGTTTTCGAGATACTTGCGAAAAACTGCGAGAGCGCGCAATTAAAAATTTTTGTTTTGAGGGGCGGGAAAGAGAGATGGGATAGATTTTACATCTCAAGTAGATATTACATATTCAGTGTTTTGAAGGTGAAGGGTAAACAATGTTATGAAGATAGGAATAGAACAAGATTTGAATTTAAAAAAATATTTATATACTAAAAAGTAATAATTGAAAAAAAATGCCCGAAAAAACACTGCCTTTCAATGAAACCCCGTTCGATATCGGGTTTATCATCCTTAAGATTAGCTCGGGCAAACACACTAATTGTGCACTAGTGGTGCTACTGAAGAGCACAGAATTTTTGGACTAAAGCTTTCTAATCTCTTCAGTCTAGACTAGCTTTTCGGTATTACTCCACCCTCTTCCAAACTGCTATCGGCGCCAAAAAGACAATTTTTCACATTTTCTCAATTTTTTGCTCTCCCAAAAGTAGAAATTGAAATATGATTTTCAGAAGATTATAGAAGAGAAAAACATGGTCGTTTATGCAAATTTTGATTGAAAAATTAGGAGAATTCTTATTTGAGAAAAGTCATGCGATTTTTTTCTGAAAATTCAAATTTAAGCTCATTTTCACAGAAGTTTTGAATTTTTGAG